TATTTTAGCTAGAAGGTAAATGTTATGATATGATATTTGATTGCCACAGGAGTAAAGCAGTTATTTAGTAAAGCCGCTGTTACTACTTAAAGTTAGTCAAACAAGAAATGTTAGGTGCCGTTGGAAGAATTTTTTAAAAATAATCAATCCATTTTTCCATAAATTAATCTTCGAACTTTTTAAGTTTTTTTCTAATGCCATTCATTTTTTATTTCTCATAATATACGATGCAAATTTAAATCATTAATTATTAATGCATGTTCTCGTAATTACCTATTACTTCTCTAAATCTCTAAAGCAAACGTTAACAACCCGTACTGAAAATTCTCACAGTGAGCTTATCAGCACTATTATCATTTGGCTGTTATCATCGATTACTACCAACGTTTGTAACAAAAGATCTTGCGAACCGAATGTGCCATAGATTATAATTATTGCAATAAACCTTCCAACCACTCGGCTCACCTATACAACATTTTTGTTGTCACAAATTAGTTCTTTTTTATAAATCACTGTTCATTCGATATTTTAAGAAAGCCAGCTTCCAACATCGAAACATTTTGGAATTTGAAAACAATTTTTAAAAAATACTTTACTTTCAGCCAATCAGTTGCAATTCGACTGCAAACCTTGATTGTGCATTGAAACTGCAGTTATCTACCTGAAAAAGATATTTTGTGGAGACTATATTGGCTGAGAGACCTGAAACAGCCATAGGGAGGAAAGGATTAAATTGCGTGGGACCGGATGACCGGCCGAAAAGGTCGTCCGGTCAAAGCTTGTTGGCTGAAATAGAAATCAACGATTCGCGGATTATATGAAAAATCCATTTCGACCCCTTAAAAAATCCGTTCTAATTAATTTAAAATAAAAATACAGTAATAAACAGTAATAAATTGGATGATGAGCAGTGATAGTCGTAACAAAATTTAGGTAAAAAACAACGGTAGTATTGTTAACAATAATAGTGAAAATAATAAAAATAAAAAATACCAATAATGAAAGCAGTAACAATAAATAGAAGCAATAAATGAATTTTATTCATTCAAGTCCTCACCATTACTGGTTAAACTCGCTCCGCTGGCCTATCCCATTGGACAAGCATGCCAGGGAGTGCCTCGGCGACAGAGATGCAGGTGAGTCGCCAGCTCACCGCATTTCCGGACAGGTTTAGCGGGACTCTCGCGGGGAATCGAACCGCAGCACAAATACAAATCGACAATCAAAAAAAATAAGGAAAAGGAATAAAAGTGAGGAAGAGAACCGATAAAAAGAAAGATCGAACTGGAAAAACACCTCGAGCGAACAGGAAGGGAATTTATTTATGCGATTTAGCGTGGAATCGTTGGCGTTAAATCGGTACGAGCCGACACAATCGTCTAACCGTCTGCCGAATACTCTCTCGTTGATTCGATTGATATTTGTGTATTCGATGCGTACACTACACACACATCCAAACACACAAATATTTGCCAATGCTCGTAAAAACGTGCGATGTTATTCCCCGTCGTTGTGTTCCCACTTGTCGGGGGTTGCCCTGTCCCGGGTCGGCAGCCTCGTGGGTTTGCTACCTTTCGGCTTCCACCCCTCTTCATCCTCCGCCATTCGCCTTTAGCGATATTTAGTTAATTTGTTCCTTTTTGTTTTCATTTTCTTTAATAAATCTATTTTTCTTTATCAAAGTTTATTTCAGCTAAAAAATTTTAAAAAAATGAAAATTTTTGTGGAAATAAATCCCTTCGAATTTCCTTTGCTTTCGAATTTGGGAACTTTTTATATTTTTATGGAAAAATTTTCGATGATTAAAAAACGTTGGAAATCGGATTTGCAATATTAAATGATCGTTCTTTTCCATTGTTTCACCTTTTTGCTAAAAGTCAAACGATTTCGATCATTTCGATACGAGTAAATTTCTCACAATGGAGAAGGTCCTCTGGTTCCATTGCTCGTTTGTCGAAGTGGAGAGACGTCCTCTGATTCCATCGACACTGGGTTCTGTTCTCCTATCCGAGTCATTGCCTAATTTCCTTCATGCCATCTCCTTCTTTCTATATATATATATATCTTTCCCTCTTTCTTTCTACCGTTTTTCGTCACTATTGAGAGGTCATTATCTACCATTCGGTCAGTCAGTCGCAGAGACATGAGAGTGAGCGTCGGTTTAAAAGCAAGGAAATATTTGGGTAGTAATTCGGCAGTTGTATGTTTCTGGTACGAAGCGGTACATAGGATATCGCGGCCGCCCATTATGACCCGAACCTTATGGTCAGTTGGGCGATTTGTGCTGACTGCCTGCCTTCCACTACCATCATCATCACATTCTTTATTAAAATCGATGATGCGTGCGGTCAACCCGTAGATCCGAACTTGTGTTTTTGTTATAGTTACATGAGCTCGGAACTCGGGTAGATTGCTGTACTTCGTCGTAACGTTTGTTATAACGTTTCTTCCTCTTCTTTTCTCCCTCGTTTTTGTTGTCTCCGATCTGAAGAATCGTTTAACTTTTAAGTCGCAAATTTGCAATTTGCTTCGATTAAAAATTTGCAAATTGAGTGGATTCGACTGTCTCTCGGATAAACCTTCAAATTTACCTGTCATTACACAACATGTATTGCAAAACGTAAATTTTCTGCTGGAAAAAACATCGAACTGCAAGATTTATTTGTAAGCGAATCAAGGATCTTTAAAAATTTACAAATTTTGTTGCAAATTTTTTTGCTATGATTGAATAAATGATTCTTCGAAAGCACTGTTTTATCTTTTTGGAAGAAAAACATCTCTTCAAGAAAAGGAATAATATAAAGATGGTAACTGTGGTGATATCTGTGGTGAATGATAGTTGGTGAATGATGTTAATGATAAGGGAATCAAAGCCTATTAAAAAAAAGGATGTCAAATAATATACATAGTGCATCTGTAGTTTTTCTGCACATCTGGTTGTTTTTTTGCGAACATCAATTAAGATGAACCACAGAATTACTTGTAATACATTGTAAAAAATGTTAAAGTGTAATGTATACGAAACGCTAACGCTAATTCTCTAAGGTTGCAAATCGTGGATTTTACTTCTGAAAGGTGCTCATCTGAATGCAAATAGTTGTGTTGTGCAGAACCGAATTAATCGCAAGAACCGAACTGGAGATGACTGGTACAAATAATGTTTTATACATGATAGTCAATGCGGAAATCTTTAAATTAAAATGAAAAGAATAGCTAAATTTTTACGGGCATGTGGATTTTTCAATGACTTAGGTCAGAAGTTTAGGGTATAAGTTAATTCGGAATCCATCCACTGTCTAAGTCCATCGTAAAACTTTATTCTAAAACATAAAATCTCTGAAATCTTAATTTATCTAAAAAACAATCTAAAGTGATATTTTTGAGCGATGTTTTATTTTAATGTTTAATGTTTAAATTATTAGTTAAATTTTCGCTAAAATTAGGCGGCGGTCATTTTTGACCTAAATTTAAAATTTCATGCAACAGACATCAAAATTCCCCAATCTTTATTATTGAGAATTGTGGGAAAAAAATAGTTAATTTGCTAGGAAAATTGAAGTTTTCTCTCGATGAAGCAACCTTATTAACTTCGCTGAAAAATATATCTAGTTTGGCAATATAACGTCGAGAAACTTGGGAAAATATGTTACCCCAGTGGAACCAAACAAATAGAAATGGTGGATTCTATCAAAAAGCGTAGAAGAAGTGTCCAAACTAATTCATTGGTCTTCATGTATATCTTAAAGGCATTATAATACTTTTCTCTCGCTTTTTAAATCTCATGCAATTAGGAACTGAAAAGATAGGTTCACTGAAATTCAATTCATAATTTCGCCAGGTCAGAAACAATATGCAGGTGAATAAGCAGTAATAGATTAAACACTTCAACTTATCAAGAAAATTAACAGCGATAAAAAAATCTTGAAACGTCTTCGAAATTTATGAAGTCGTAGTGCGAAGATCCAGGTAGTGCTGTGGTCACGTCCATACACCTATCCTTAAGTGGAAAGAGGTAAAGAGATCTTATCATGGTCTCGGGATTCAACCTTGATCAGTGCCGATGCGTTATACTCTTGTAACCGAAAAAAGGAATAATCTTTCTACTATGTTGCTTAAAATTCTTCGACTGTTTCTGGTCTTTTAGTCTTTGTTGGCTTCTGGAAATTTGGCATTTTCCAAGAAACCAAATAATTAAATTTGGAATATTTAATATTTAAGCGGTTGTATAAATAGTTACGCAGAAATATTGGAATATTTTTCTTTTGATTTTAAAATAGTTTATGAGTTTAATTCATTAAATGAATTAGAATGGAATGACATAAAAATAAATTTCAAAATTGCCTCTAAATATTTTTGCCATAAACCATACAAAACAAATGCGCGAGATAAAAGATTTAAAGGTCTAAGAATTGCATTAAACAAAGTCAGAGTTTAATTTAAAAGATTTTCGTTGAGATTCGTTGTAACCTACTAAGATTCCTATGAAAATCTCAATTTCGGAATAAATATTGCAAAGGAATTCGGTATGAATAAAAGAAGCCTCTTTTCCGTCATTAAAACATTTGCTGAAAATGAGATCCAAAAGAAGAGCACTAATAATTGGCCACAAATTTTCTTCGATTTATGGTATTTATGGAAATATGGTGTGCAATCATGGCGTCCTACGACAGATAGGTTTGAAGCAGAAATGCTAAGCGAAATTAGCCAAGAAGAATGACGATTGTGCGTAGATCATTGAAATATATCGCTTTTTAAGATTTATGAAATTTTTATTCCAAAAACTTTAAGAATTTTCATTCCCTTTTATATATAATGGCTGAATAGTTAAAAAGTTTTCAGCAGTGAATTGGGAATTTGAATAGCCATCGAGAAAGCCAAAACAATATCAGTTTTATTTATATTATTTTGCATAAATTAACACACAAATAAAATATAAAAATAATTAAATGCCATAGGATATACGATATTTACAACAATTCCTACAGGAATTTTAAATGCCACTAACTTTTAATTCGAGGATAAGGCGGAGGCAAACCTCTACACACTGAATAATTACAGTAGTTGCTTGCGCCATATGGTCTGAAATTTTATTTTTATTTCAAAAATAAGTACCATGGAATATGGAACTAAAGGGATATATTTGAACCATAATTTGACCAATGCGATGTGGGTTCTTGAATTAAAATATAATATATACGAAACGTACGAAAATTTTTTTCTTAAAACATACTTCGGATTTTCTCTAACACGATACATGTCCGTTGCAAATGCTGAAATTTGACCATCAATACTTGGTTCTTGTATAACGCTGAAAATTTTAGAATCTTGATATTCGAAATCCGTTAGGACAGGAAGCTCGGGCAAAGAGGAAAATCGCAGATAAATAAACAACTTGAAAAGTTTTTCGTGCAAAACTTATGATATAAAAGAAAGAAAAAGACATAAAAGAAGAAATCTTGACAAACATAATTGACAAACTGAAAGTTTTACTATTTAGGAAAAGGATGTATTTTGCTGTATAATCGAATCACTGATGTTGCCATTAATATAATTGTCACAATGCAAAAAAGGTTTATTAGCATTGATGCCCAAACACCATTCTGAAATATTAAAACAGCAGTGATAATACTGTTCACGTTAAAATTTTCATTTTCTCGAAAAACTTATAATTCCGTCTTCTCCAGTGCCCATAACAGAAAAATGGCTCATAGCTAGCTATTTATATACCAAGCTCCGTGATGAACAGCGTCGAAATTGCGGACAAGAAATGAGAAGATAGAGTCAGAGGCGATATCGAGTCAGAGTCGAATATAAAGGTGGCCCCGTGAAATATAGAATGGGGCGATATGCCCCTTGGTGAAAAGAAGTGATTTCTGTATTTGCAGGTAAAACGCCAGAAAGTTTAGAAACTACTTAAACTACTTAGTTAAATTACGCTGCGAACTAAACCAGCAATGGAATAGGTTGTTAGAAGATGAAGGAAGGATAAAAAAAAGTAGCGTGACATGTCTATTCATATGCCATTGAACTGGATTTTATGAATGATTTAAATATATAAAAATATGTAAAAAACGAACAAAAGGACTAATTGTCTGGTAGCAAAAAGCTGCCCGAGCTCCTCTTACGATTTTTCTTAGGGGTACACAACTTGTTACGCTAGTTGATACCTGCAAACAAAAATATTTAACTGCAAAAATATGACAATCTACTTTAATAAATAGAAGAATCAAAAGGGCAAATTGAATTCAGAAGAGGATTAACTTCTATTGGAACTAACTAAAACTAACTTCTTGCTTGACATGCTCAATATATTGACCAACATCAGCTGTCATCTCAGCAGCAAAATCGTCAAGTGCTCTTCTAAAATGTTCATCGATATCAGATGATAACAGTGCTTGGGCGTGTTGCAATCTGACCGTCAGATCTGAGGTTGGCACAGAGGTTGACATGTTTGTAAGGAGATCATTAAGAAAATTTATATTCTTATATAACGCATCAATACGACGACGGAAAGGTTCAATACTATTCGTCTGCAATCAGTTTCAGCTGTGAAAAAATGTAAAAAAGACATGCATTCATTTGAGTTTTAAAAATTTAGGTTAATCGCCCAAATGAGATATCGTTTTTTCTAATTCTTCCTCAGATAAGTCCTAGTGGCTATGCGGATTTCATTTATAATTACCGTTTATTTTTATTAACTTTCCGAACTCTCATTTCTTCATCTCGGCTGAAGTAATACAGCACTGTTAATTCTATCAGTCTTACGAATTTGACAATGGTAAAATCCTGTTTATGTTGGAATTTTTTTTGCAAATATGTTTCATAAATAATCGCTTAATCAACGAACTTAACTATAAATGACTATATTACAGTTTTCACGAAGCCGAGATCTGCCTTAGAGGCGACGAAAAAAACTTAAGACTTCAAAAAAAAACTTCAAGAAGATTTAGTTTTTCCACAATTGTTGCTACAACCGTTGTTTTTTTACCACGTTCGGCCATTATCGCGTTAATTTGACTATTCACATTGAAATTTTCCATTTCGTTTCTCATCTAAATGAGAAGTAATCAAAGATTTAGTTAAATGCTAATAATTAAAGCGTTCGCGGCAAATAAAAGAAAGAAATATCTTGATCATTACTTCTTCTATAGTTTCAACATTAAGTAGTGGAACATAGGTTCCATTGATACGTTGAAGCAATTTAATCTGCTCAGACGAGATGAAAAATTCGAGTGGCCTATCTATATATATGTCGGTTGGACTAAATCTCAAATAGTCCTCCAACTGTTCATAGGATCCTTTTTCGTGTCGCCGGAGGTCATACAAATGATATTTTTTATCCAGTCCATAGATATTATAAAGAGTCTCATTGCGATCGCATGCACGAATTACATCTGCCAGCGTTTTTTGGTCAATGAATGGTGATAAATCATTTTCAATACGCTTTGACCGCCAAATTTCGATGAATCGCTCATTTAACTGAAATTATATCAATTTACTGGACATTTTATACAATTTATAGAATTAATCCCTATAAGCCATTATCACCAACTCCCTGGCAAAATTTGTCTGGTCCGATAAGCCAGGGGAGAGAACTTAGCCATGCCCTTACAAAAAAATTAATGTAAGCTGCCAAGCATTTAACGAGATGTATATCAATCTCTCTGATGGATAGCGAAAAAGAGATTAGTGAATGTTAGCAAATGTTAAATATGAAAAGGTACAGAAAGTATATCTGGTCTCGAAAATGGATTTTCTAATGGATGACAAATGAATGAATAAATATTCGATCCAACAAGAAGCAAAACTGCCGCTATTGTTGAAAGCGCAATTAGTAAGATTATTGACATCCAAATACCACTGAATATATAAAATATATATAAATAAAACATGAACAAATTAATGAAATAACCAAATTTTGCCAATTATTTAATCAGAAAATAAAAATTTCGTCGCAAAAGCGAGAAAATGGGGCAGTAATAATTCAGACAGTTCTAGCTACTACTACAACTTCCAAGAGCATGAAATCCCTCATTTGGCTCATTACTTATCAGTGGTCATTTTTTTCATATAACCGTTACATCCATATATAAACAAGAAGCAAAACTGCCGCTATTGTTCAAAGCGCAATTCGTAAGATAATTGTTCTTTCATCACTTTAACAGCCAATTAACAGTAATTTAATAACTCAAAATAATAAGTTGATAATCAGTTGACAATTAACGGATAAGTAGAATGAAATGAAGTAACGAAGTAAAATCATTTTTACCAAAAGAACAATTTATTTCCCGTAGTTCGTACACAGCAGTCATCTCTATAGTAGGTAGGACGACGACCACAACAACCATAACATAGTGCAAATAAAAAATATAAGGTGATTAGAACAAAGATTCCACTTAACAACAGTGAACCGTACCAACTGAAATAATTTTTAATTGTTTTTTCGGCCATTATAACATTTCCTAGAATACCTTCCTTCATTACGTAGAATTATTATTATTAGCATTATTATTGTTACCATTGTTATTATTTTTTATTATTAATTATTATATTAACTATTAACTATTCGTGTCTAACTGATCCACTTTGCATGAAATATAAACGGATGTTTTACATTTTCAATTGCTCTTTTTTACCTTAAAAACCGATTTGAGAGTTCGATTTAGATAATGTAATTGGAATTCGATGAGTTGTGAGGTTTTCTAATTCCAAGTTTGGCAATAAACCAAAGATATATAACCATTGTTTGAGAGAAGACAATCGAAATTGTAAAATAATGAATGGACGGATACACAAACTAATGTACTAATGGAATTTAGATAATGCATTGATAAACGAAATTATTTTTGGAAAATTCACAATTACGTAACAATTAAGACTTCTAGTAAATCAATTTAAATGTAATCAAATCAATTATTATAATAATTATAATTGCATTTTTATTTTCAACCGCAACTTTACTAATATTTTAAATTCTAAAAATAAATAAAAATTCGAATCTGCGGAACAAAGAGAAAAAAAATCAAAATAAAATAGTAAAATAAAATAGTAAAAAAATAATACCTTAACAAAAAAATTTTAAGTATAATATAAAATAAAAGAAAATTAAAATGCTAAAATTCTAAAAAAATTGCTGAAAAGTAAAAGAAATAACACTAAATTATTAAATTCAAAAATTTAAATTTACCTATGATTAACGTAATTTTTATAAATATCTTTTGCATTGCTATGTATACGAAGAAATTTATAAAATATATCGAAATCTATTTGTCGAATATGAGATGAAATTGTTTCAGCGATAAGAAATAGATCGTCTTCGATTGTCTTTAATTTATTTTGAATAGCTAAAATAAAAATATGAAAATTTAAAAATCGACGTTTTCTTTAATTAAACACTTTCGTTACAAAACATTACCTGAGATTACCTGAGACTTCCACATAGAAAAAGAAAAAAAGAAAATATGGCTTATGTCAGCAACTAATGTTCGTAGCTCCTTTTACTCTAATAACTTTTTCGAGAAGACAATTTATGATAAAAGAAAAAAAAGGAAAAGGAAGAAAGTTAACGAGAAAACAAAGAAATAGCTAATTAAACTGAAAGTACAGCAATTATCTGATAGAGTGGACGATTCTACAATAACGCTAATTAATTCTGAGAGAGCTCATCTAAAGCTTCTATCCACAAATGAATCTTTGGTGAAAATATATTATCCCAGAGATATCTATTAGAAGAGAATTTTTACAATATTTTTTTTGATTGATTTTCAATTGAAGATCGTCCTCAACCTCGAGAAATTTCTTTAAGAAATCGGCAAATATATCAGAAATATTTAAATTGATAATTTTTCTCAGTCCTTCAATGGTCTGTTGAGCTATCAAATCCTGAAATTTGATCCTTATGAAAAATCAGATGTTAATGTCGATTTCAAATTCTTAACTCACTGTAAATTGAATTAACTAAAATAACTGGATAAATATCTTTATTGAGAGACAGGGATTCTGGGTTGGGAATTTAATCGGTAACCAGACTTCGGATATCGATGATAAATATTTCATTCCTTGCTTCAAAGGCAGAAACAAGTCAGACAGTTTTTAATATGCCTAAAATATAATTCGAGGAAAATCCATAAGAAAATGATGGATTTTAAGTTTTATCGGATAAGTTCATTCAGTTATCAATAAAAAGCTTTTCACGAAATGAATTAAAAGTGTTATGATCTAACTCCTTTGAATAAAATAGGAAATCGGTCCATATCGCTCAATATTTTTTCCATTTTTTGACAAAGGTATTTGCTTGGATCGATTTCATTGCGCACGCATTCCAGAAGTTCTTCAGACGAGGACTTCCGAAATTTTACAACTTCTAATCGGAATTTATTTAAATCTACCGAATTTACATCATTTTCAATGTTCCTTGCCACTGTTACAGCTGTTCGAGCACCTGATTTATTGTTAACTTTTGAAACTAATATTCAAAAATTCCATTTAAAGAAATAAGATCAAGTGAAATTATATTATTGTCGACAGAAAATGGGAATAAAAATATTGGATCGTTAAAAAAGTCCTGTATATTTCAGTAGAAACCGTTTCAAATTACCAGTATTATTCCATTTGAGCTCACAAAGTGTTAGATATCAAAAACCACACCTTTCCATGATAAATTTGGATGATGCTGGAGAAAATAAAATTTTCTATTTATGGATAAATTTTTCAAAGAAAAAAAAAGTCGCGAAATCACTGTGAAAACAGCGATATGATAACAATAAAAAAAATGTGGCTTCAAGGCCAGATCCAGTAAAAACAGTGGGAAATTTTGAATGATTCAATTATTAGATTCATAAAACAAAAAATAATTTGAAATTATAAAATTAATTTGATAATCTTGAAACTGAAAACGCTAAAACCTTGCGACATGCTGATTAAAATATCTAAAGCATCAGCGCCAGTGATTTTCTTGATGCGTTGAACTAACGAGGAACCACCTTTGTTCATCTTTTGCATTAATGATGCATTTAATGTTTGAAAATCATCAACCAACAATTTGCGGATCCTCTGTAATTTCATAAATTTCATTTAACAGCTGATAAAATCTCTATTGGAAATTTATTCCAATTAATTTTTGATTTTCTAAAATTTAAATTTTCACTTAAAATTTGAATGGAATGAATTAAAAAGCTATAATTCAGTGAACAAATTTACCAAATTTGTTTCTCTTTGATAAAGAGCAAGGTCATCAATACAATGACCTAAACGACGCGGCAGTTCATCTGCACCATATTCTGCATATTGACTACTGATCACAAATATTGCGACTGAGAAACTGGAAAATGATAACGATCACGACTGTATCTTATGAGATTTTATGAATTAAATTAATTTTAATATTATCATTGGCCAAATTAAATAATCAAACAATCATTTTATTGCAATACAAATAATAAACCACATTATTCGACATTCATTTTATTCATGTCATCCAAATGTCATTCGATATAATGTCTGTTGAGGAGGAATGGCAAATTGTAAAATGCCACTTTAAATGACACTTCTAAATTTAATGATTTTGATTTTTTAATAACAAATCAATCTGACCTGAATGGCTACTAAAAACACCTTTCATCTCTATCACATCTCCTAATTCCTAAGTGACTCAGTGGTGAAAGCATATCACCAAATAATCAGGGAAATTGAAGAGGATGATGAAGGAGCATTGGCATTTAAAAAATTCTAGTGATTACTATTTTAACAGAAAATAGAAAATATTCTCCGATTTATAACATACATATTTACAAGAAGTACGACTGCAATAAAAAAATTTAGCAGCCTTCGCCTGCAGAGGTCAAATCGTTTATCAGTTGTTTGTTCTTTTTTTGTTGACTTCTTACAATGACCACAACAAAAATGAAGAGCATATGTGAAAGTAAATATAACGGAAAAAAATATGATAAAAATCGAGATAATTATCCACCACTGTTCGAATTCAATCCACTGAAAAATGCAGTTAAAAGTTAAAATTCATCATTCATCATCATTATACTTCGTTTCTAATCCAATTTGCATTGAGGTTTCACCTAACAAAGAAAAGCGAAAATCGCCAGTGAAATGGTTAGAAAAGGTTTTTCAGATAAAAGTTGAATATTTTTGAAAGCATCGTGTTTTAAACAAGCAAAATGAAGATTATAATATTGTTTAAATTCGTGCAGTAGGTATGGCATGAAATATGACAGTAATAAGGCATAAAAATTAATTAGTCGTTTACTCACCTTTGGATATTTATTAATAAAGGATTGCTTGATTTCTTCTAAATCACCTTCAAGAGCTCGTTTATTTAATACATCTAAAAGTTTACTTTTAGTTTATTTCTTGCAAGAACCCTTCTAATTAATATTTCATTGATTTAATTTTTCTTTTTATTTTATATTTAGTATTTATAGTATTATATTTTATATTTACTTTATATTATTTATTTAATAAGTTTTTCTAAATTTGGTTCTTCCGCAGTTTCCATATCTTATAAAGCTTCTTTTTTTTTTCATGGCAGTCATCATTATTTTTCGTACCCATCTTGCTGCTATGATGCTTTCTGAATCTAATTAGCCTTTCATGAGTTTTTAAGCATAGATTTATTTTATTAAGATAATTAAGAGCTCGACTGTCTCCAGTCTGAGTTTCAAAAGCACGCAGAAAATTAAACAAATAAATTAGAATAAGTAAGCCTATAGAAAAACAAAATACCTTGATGTGGAAATGGTTTTGAGAATAATCGAATGAATGAATTTACAACTGAATAAAAATATTCTAAAGTCTCATCACTGATTTGATTGGTAAGGAAACTGGTACACTTATATTCCTCGGGGAAATGAAACGGCGAAAATTGTATCGCTACAGTTATAACAGGCAATGTAAGCATGGACCACAACATAATTATTCCATGGTGCCTGAAAGCATATCAGAACATTCATTCAAGCAAATAGTTCAATCTTCTGATGAGAGTCGCACATATCTACAGAGATAGAAAATTGAGAAAGCTTTAGCTAAATAATTGGTAAAATAGAATGTCCGAATATCCAATCACTTCAAATCATTCACTAAATTTCAACCCAAAAATTTTACATAATAAATATAAGATCCTCTAATATCAATAATATTTGTAATAATAATATTGATAATATAATAATTTTTAATAATCCTCTTATTAAAAATTCAGAAATTTTATTGCACAAAGTTTTATCGTTTTATGAAGTGAATAATAAGTGAAACATGTATCGAAATTATTTGAGCCATAGAATCAGTTGGAGAATAAAAGTTACCTTAGCTCTTAACATCATCCAACTTCAATTTTAATGGCCAAGTTGTTAAGGGATTAGGAATTGAATCTGTGATTTTTCGATTTAGAAACTCGGAAGAAGCAAAAAAAATATTAGTGAATGTACATGTAAATTAATTTTGTCGATACCGAAAAGGAATTTTTCATAATTATTCATTAATAAACCTTAATGAAAAGCTTCATGCATAAAATAAATGTTTACTCAGCTTACAAACAATTTGTACTTCGAAATAATTGAATGGATTAGAAAAATCAATCATAAAAATATTTTCGAGTATCAATGAGAAAAAAATAAGTTTTTATTATTAATTTATTAATTATTAAAAATTATCAATTTATATAGAATTATGAATTTTTTAATCGTATTCAATCCAGAACGCAAAATGGATTAACGGATTAAAAGCGAACAAATGTGGAAATATTTAAATTCCATTCCATTTTATACATTTCCAAAATATAAATGTAAGAATCAGAGATGAAGAAATTAATCACGTAATTCTAAAATGTTTAAGTAGCAGTAAATTTGATTGGCTGCAATCATTATCATTAAAGTGGGGACTTTTCGCCAGAGTCATTTAGAAATGAAAGCGAAGGATTTCGCTTTCCCTAGTATCGAGGATTTCGCTTTTAATGAGGGATGAGAATCGAACTCATGATGGTTTAAGTTTTAATTGAAATAATCACTCGGCACCATCCTAATGTTTCACGCCGAATAATGATAGAACATCAATTCCAACCATACGAATATTTCGCATTAAGAAATATGATTTTAGGTCATAAAATAGTCATACCAGGTTAATCAGCCATAGCACTCCGCTCATCCATTTTTAAATTAATAAAGACTAATCGCCGCACTTTGCTTAATTAATTTATGGAATAATAAATATTTTAAAAGTGAAAAAAGGATTTAATAAAACGCTACAGTTATTCTTATAATTAATAATTAAAATTAGGTTTAAACTTAAAACAAATAAAAAATTGGTTTTTTATAAAATATATAAATGTGAAACCATCATTAATAGAGAAAATTAAATGATGAAAGGTAGAAATAAATGATAAATTTGGAGGAGACTATTGGTTCGAATGATAAGACCACTTAGTTTGTCAGTGATTATGAACAAAAAAGATTAATAAAAAAGAGGAGTAGAACTGCGGGTAAAATTTAATTAACAATTTGATTAAATAAAAAATCATTTTCATCTTCTAACAGCAGTCATTTCTTTCCAATCATTCCACTAAAAACTAAGCCTTTCGCCACAGAGTCACTCGAAGATTGAGAATACTAATGGTAGTTCGGCTGTCAATCAGAATCAAACCGAATTCTTCGCACATAACCGAATTTACCAAAATAAATAATTTAAAGACAAACTTCTCCAAAATTTTGTAAAATTTTACATTAACTATCGTATATATAATTCAGAATTGAAGAGGAAGAACGTAAAAATAATAATAAAAGTAATCACTGAAAACATAAAATATTAAATAAGAAAGACAAATAAATAGTTTAATTTAATCCTTTTGTATCGTGTCAATTCATTTATTCATTCATTCAGAAATCATTCTAAAACTTTTAAAGAACAACGAAAATTCAACCAACGAACCAGTCACTTCTCTTCTCCTTTATATTTTATATTATAATCACTCTTTCCTTTCATCGTAAAAATAGTTTGCATTGCGACAAAATTCGAATAAAATCGATTATTTCGTTTTAAAATTCATTAAAAGAAAGTAGATTTTGAAAAATAAAAACTGATGATGGAAAATTTCGATGTAACCTTAGCATTTCATTCAATTAGTCTGTCAATGCGTGCTTTACGTAGCGTGTTTAATCTAATAATGTCTGTAGTATGCTGCCCACAAAGCTGGAATGAGTTTACTAGTATATAGCATTATATTAGGCTAAATTTAGCCCACGGGCATGTAGTATGCGGTGTATATGGTGCACCAACCCACCACAATCTAACAGCAATACGCGGTTCGAGTCAGTCTACCAGCAAATTTTATTTGAATAGTCTCTTCTTTTTCTTATCTGTCGTAATTATCTGTCTGAGAAACTGAAAAAAATCTTCAATTAAACGGAATCAGAATGTTAAATATATTCTTGTCTGATTTAAGCAATAAATCCTTAAAATATGGTTATTAAAGGATAAAATATTAAATTTTCATTAAATGATATTGTATAAATATGCTAATTCAGTAACAAACAATGGCTAATTTTTTGAAAGAAATAAAACGAGCAGAATAATTCGAGCAGAACTAGTCAGCTCCACTGAAACAAAATTGTTTATTTCTTTTTTCAAGCATTAATATAAATAAATAAATGTCGAAATTTATAAATATGAGTTATTTTATAACTACAGATTTAAGAGAAAAAACTTAGAAAAGAGTTTAAATTCATCAGAAAATTTATTTTCTCATTTAGCCACTTTCACTGCTTAGAATTGTTTAGAATATTTTATCATTTAAAATTTCTAATAATCGAAACATTTCAATGGTAAACTTATAATTAATAAATAATATAAATAAATATATTAAATAATAATGAATGAGAAATAAAATAAATAATGTTATAAGCAAATAATAAAAAATAAAATAAATTAGTTTATGGAATGGCAAGCAAAGGCAAAAATTTATCTCGGCCATTAAAAAATATTAATTAAATTGATTGAATGCTTGCAAAATGAGTTTGTCAAGAGTTTGTCAAGAAATATGAAAAGCATTGTTCTGGTAGAAACTAATAAAAAGATGGAAAAATTGAAAGTTCACATGAAAGAAGGTGAAATTTTATACACAAATTCTACTCATAAATTATGAAGATGAAAAGAAATGAAGTTATTGAAAACAAATGGAAAAAAATTTTAAAATCTAAAAATTTCAAGAGGATTTGGACAAGAAAATAGAAATAAACAAAAATAGTTTATAAATTAAGTGGTGTATTGGAAATATATTGTGCAAAGTTCAAGTAAGTTCAAATCCTCTTTCGGTCAGAGGGTTATTGGGTGTGAATGATTTGATGGAATGCTCAAAAAGAATTTTTTGAGGATCCATCGATTACCAATCGCTCTAACTCACGTTTCGCGAATTCCAGTTTTGCGATTATGATTTGATGAGTGTTGGTACGACATACGACATACTGGCTCGAATAATTACCAAAATTATTGGACTAAAACATATGTAATACCTCTTTGTCTTTAAAAGAAAGATGACAGCGAAAGGAAATCCAAATGATTCAAATTGATCTGATTCGAAAAATTTAGCGACAAAATAAACGAAGGTAAAAAATCGTGTGTAATTCACAGTGCCGAAATTCTGAAAATGGCCAATGGTGACCAAGTAAAAAGAACATTTCGATATGGAAACAACCACTAATCTCAACTTCGATCAAAAACAACCAATGATTTTCGGAATGCATTTTGCTTTTACAATACTTTTTAAATTCCAGAGATATTCTATAGATAGCTAACTATGAAAACGGCAAAATTTTTTTAACTCGACGATTTTTTTGTAGCTTTTTTTTAAATTTTACAAATTTTCTTATTTATTTATATTATATAAATAGAAAAGATCGATTTGTAATATAAACTTTCCCCGTTTTTACGATGTTTATTGTCATGACATTTGTATCATAATTAATAAATATCACATCCATGGCCACTCATCTGTACTTCTGCCTTCTAATCTATTTTTGAAATTATCATATACCACTAACAGCCAGTGGAACCAACCTAACCAGAAACGATGTGTGTTGACTGTTAACTACATGCTTATTTTTTTATTTACTGGAAGGTACTATCTTCAAACTCATGTTACATGTCCTGGAATTTCATTAAAACGAATGTTAACGAGCACACATGCATTAAGTTTTTATAATATATTTTTGCAAAATTTATCGTATAAATTTAGCCTAAAATTAAATGAAACACTAATAAAAATATCAAATAAAACCAGTCTACATAGCGAGAATCCAATAAGCCAGAATTTCTCAGATGCAAAGTGCCAAGCACTAATAAAGAGTGAATGTCGACTATTATTCTCTATCGGGCAAGTGAGTCTGTTGAATTTAGGATCGATGGAACAAGGCAAATCAGAAATTTATATAAAGTAAAATAGTGAAATGATTCGTAAAGAGGAAGAATATGAAAAAATCAAACAAATTATGAAAATGAAGAAAAAATAAAATCAAATTTTTGTAACGTATAACTGCTAATTTGCTAATAATCAATGCCTTAAACCAAAGGAAGACGAAATTAAAAGCTGAGATAACCGCAAATATTCTTTCGCCTAGCGCTCTAGGGGATCGCCGCGAAATTACCGTCAAAATGAATGTTCGCATCTATTTGAATGCAGTGTGCCATCGTATAATAACTGTGAAACATGGGCCAATGATAGTGGAAGGTATTGCGAAACTGAGGGTCTTTGAGCATTTTATGCGCTCACGAGCGGATAATCTCGCACGATTGCATTAACCTTCGTTAAAATATTGTCTGCGCTAGCAATATACCACTCCCTCATAAAGTACTATCTGTGCTGGTAAGTTCTTCGCCGCAGCAATTGCTGCATATCTCAGTACTTGCTAAGACATGATTACAAATGGC